GAATGCCAACATGCGGTCTGCGATGCTGAACTTGAGCGCGGACATGCTCGCCTCTGGTACGGTGCTGCTCCCGGATGCAGCTGTGTCTTCCCCTCTTTCCAACGCATGGCAAGTACCTTGTACAGGCTCTCGAGAGCCAGCGTGGCTGGATGCGCTCGGCATTGCTGCCATTGGCACCGCAAGGTGACAGCTTATGGAAGATCAATGGCTTTAAGCTTTGAGGGCAGCACTTGCAGGCCAAGTTCCAGAGCCGTCCACTCCTGCGGAGGACAAAATGTTTGCCCCAATCCCAGTTTTCTGATCGAGGGGATGCTTGGGATTCGGGGCTGTGTGCGCAAGCTGCAGCGAAGGAAGCCGACGGCACAACGATGACGAGACCGCTCGGCGAGAGCCTGGAAAAGGAAGAATTGGAGCATCTGAGGCAAGGCAAAGAGGCAAAGAGCCCTTTCTTAGGGGACTGGGAAATGCAGCGCCTTAGCGCACCAGGCTTCGCCGGTCGGGCGACCCGGAGCTCAGCGAGCTTTGCGCAGGACCAGTGGGTTCAATTATGTTCAATTTTGTGCGGGAGTTGTCCTTGGTTCAGTCCACCGATGCCAGGAAGGGCTACGAGAGAGCGCGCTTTCATCAGATCTGCAATGCTGCGGGGGCCCCGAGACGTGGAAGAAGCCAAGACGGCCAGCCTCCCTGCCCGCTGAGGCCCCTGTCTACGCTCAGTTCACCTGGAGAGGCGCCTGAGCTCATGTGCATGCAAGAAGAAGGTAGAACCTGCGGCGGGCTGAGGTCAATGCGGGCTTGCCTGTCTTCGTGCACATCTACGATGCTGGGGCCCCATGTTTGGCAGCTTTAGCATCAGACTTGTTTTCCAGTCATGGCTGCTTCCCTCTCAGCATCGCCAGATTATCAGCCGATATCTTGAGGTCACGCAAGAAGCTGGCATTCGGCGTCTCAACAAGGCTATGCTTTGCATGCAGCCTGGCACAGAATAAATCTAGTAGTCGATGCTGACAGGTCTTGGCGAACAAGCGCCTTCCAATCAAGTGGGGCGGCCTGGGTGATGAAAGTGCCCGATTGCCCGACTAGCAGTGCATAGCATTGACTAGCCATGATGCTGATTTTCAGGTTTGGGGGCGTTTTCCATGCGGGCGTGGAGGCCGAGAGCTTTATGGCATGTCATGGCGGGTGCGGTAGTGTAACGATACTTAGTTCAGCAGACTGCGTCCATGCTGCTGCCTGCCGTCTCCCAATGCTTCCCTGAAACCTGCAACTGATGCTGCCCATCTTTGCCCCCCTTTGCTTTGCTTACGCTCGCAGATGTCTGACTCTGGACCAACGAGACAGAGGTGCTAAGCTGCAAAGGACGACCAGCGAAGCACGAAGCACGGTAGGCTGCTAGGCTGCCGAGACGTGCCGAGACATAGCCCAAATCTGCTCGTGCCCCCGCTCGGCCTCATACTCTTTAGTCTGTTTAGAGCCCCCAACTCATTGCGCCTCCTTGCCGTCATGGAAGCAGCATGGCGCCTCGAAGGGCTCTGGGGTGCCTCTGCGTGGCCACCTGGCTGGAGTATTTTGCGAATCTTTGTGGGGGTTTTGCAGCTTCTAAGCTGTGGTCTTGCGCAACACCACATGGGAAGGATCTGCGAACTTGTGACTCAAAGAAACCGGCGTGTACTAAGGCCTGGAGGTGCCTCCTTGGAGCTGATGGCCTTCCAGGTGATGCTTGGTCTGCGCGTGTTGATATGCTTTTGATGTGTCTTGTGATTCGGCTCTCTACGTTCGCTTTGCGGCTCAAGATCCGAGGATGGCATCGCTGCGAAGCCGCCGATGGGCTACAACTCCTGGAATGACCTGGAGTGCCGCCCATCGGAGGCGAAGCTCAAAGCCTCCTGGCACAAGCACGTAGAGGCTATTTTGGGAGGCTCTGGCTCAGGAATTGCCATACCTTTGACTGTCTTTGCAGCAGCTGCGCTGGCCGCATGTCTCTGTGTTGCTATGCTGTCAGACGGCATCCCAGGCTATTGCCGAAATTCGGACGCATTGGGAGGTTTTGTTTTGCTTCTGGTAATTCTAGGACTGGTACCTGTGCAACATGGACTGGCTTTTTTTTTAGTGGCCTTTTCAGGAGAAGATAAAGGACAGAGGCTTGCTGGAATTGGGCTACGAGTACATGGTCGTCGACGACTGTCACGTCGGCAGCACCGAGATCGTGAGTCGCTGTCACTTCAAGGTCTTTGCTCTTGATTCTGGCAGCCACGCCTTGCGGCATGCTGTGTCTGCTATGTTCTGGCAGCCACGCCTTGCGGCATGCTGTGTCTGCTATGTTCTTCCGAGGCTGGATGATGAGCCGAACCGCCCGGCACCCGGATGCAGATCCTGAGCAGCCGAAGTGTAATGTCTGACTGGAGGACGGCAGGCACTCTCTTCTATAAATGCAACTTGCACATGAAGCACGGCTTTTCGGCTATGCACAGGCCCCCCCCATTTTCTTTTCCTTAGCCAGTAGCTGAAGGCAGCCGGTCACCAGTGAGACCCAGCCAGCCTCAGGTCTCCCAGCGGACGCCCTGGTAGTCTTCTGTAGTGTTTGCTCCTTTGGGCATTTCAAGGACTTAGATGCAGAGCATCTCCCAGGCAAATGCGCGGTGTGCCACCGAGAGCGAAGCCTGCAGCCGGTGCGCAAACCGGCAGAGGGCGAGACAGGCACACTGGCTGTGTGGCACTGCAGCGGGTACGCGGGCTCCAAGTGCAAGAGGCTGTACACGAGGCTTACGCAAGGCACCTGCTCTATGTGCCAGACGGCACTGGAGAAGCTCTTCTGGTCCCTGGCTGGTGAGTTTGTCCGGCCTGCCAAGGAGTCGCCAGAGGAGCAGCCTTTCACCGACTCCTGGTCAAGGTAGAAGACGAGCTGGGCGACGAGGCGTCGGCACTGCCCGAGCCAGCAGACGTGAGTGAGCAGAACCAAGCCATGCAGCTGGCCATGCGGTTCATGGAGAAAGAGTCCATGCGGAACCGCAGCTTCTTTTCAGGCCACAGTGCGGGAGGAGGGCCAGCGAGCCCGACGCAGGCACTGCCCCTTGCTCCCAGTTGCAGTTGTTGTTGCCCTTGCCAGGCTCACGCATCTCGTTCCAAAGGGCCGCGTTGTGCAGGAGGGCCTCCGAGGGCTCGCGCAACATCAGCCATGGAAGCCGGTCTCCCACTCCGACGCGTTCTGCTCATGGGAGAAGAAGCAGACGTGCTCGCAGTGCCACGCCGTGTTTTCGACGACTGCATTTGCCCGTAACGACGGAGAGCACCTTCCAGAGCCTGAAAAGGCCTGTGCGACCTCTCCGTGAGGTAGACGTCGCGTGGGGGACGCCATATGCACCCTCGTAGTTGAGCTTGAGCTTCTCCAAAATCAGTCTCGGGTCCTTCAACCGGTCGATGTAGCTGGCCTTGACCATGCCCCTGCAGAGCGCGCGGTATCTCGTAGGCCCAGCGACAGTGCTCTCCGTCGTTACCGGGCAAATGCGGTCGGCGAGAACACCGTGGTGTGCCGCTGCGAGCACGTCTACTTCCTCTCCCATGAGCAGCGCGCGTCGGAGTGGCAGACCGGCTTCCATGGGCTGAAGTTCCGCGAGCGCCCGGAGGCTCTCCTGCCCGACGAGACGCGTGAGTCTGGCAAGGGCAACAACTGCAACTGGGAGGTCTACAAGGGGCAGTGCCGGCAGCAGCTGCTGAGCTTTGCCGAGCAGCTCTTCACGATGCCCCGCGAAGAATTCCTGTCCATGCGAGCCAGCGCCTGGCGTTACTGGCGTTATTGGAAGGACAACCTTCAGAGCTTCTTTTGCTCAACTGCAACTGTCTACAAGGGGCAACTTCGTTGTGACCGCGTGGACAAAGTGCAGGCAGGACTTTGCCTTCGAGGCCTTTACCGCGGAGAAAGACTGGCAAGACGGGGGTCTCCCCATCTGCAGGGGGGAGGTGCCCGAGATCGCGGTGAACAGCTTCTTTCCGCCGAAGCCGCGGGCGAAACTTGCGACCCCTGGGGCTCAAGCCGGTGAGACCGGCCATTCGCTTCAGCGCCCAGTACTTGATCTGCTTCTCCGCTTTGGAGCCAAATCTTGAAGGTGAGCTCCGACGGAGCCTGAAGATGGACCAGGCTGCGGAGCCTGAAGTTGTTCTGCGTCGCCCGGCGGCCGCTAAGCGCTCTCGCTGCTGAGTCGATGCGCTGAGCTGCTTCTGTGCATCTCTCATGTGCCTCTGAGAGGTCTCGTCGAGAGTCATAACCTTATGTCGGGTGCATAAGCTTGTTTCTGTTGGCGGCCACATGAATAAAAAGTCAGCTCAAAATTACCTTCCAAGTTGATCCGGTAAGGGGGGCCTGCCAACCAAGTCAGAAAACAGTCAATATAAAGTCAGATGCCCCGGACATAAAGTCAGATTCAAGTCAATCCTCTCCGAAATAAAGTCAGATAAAAGTCAAATAAAGTGAATTAAAAGCAAGTTAGAAGCCAGTGTTTGGGTTGAGACACGAGTTACAAAGAAGTGCTGACAGAGGGCCCCCCCCACCCACCCAAACGCCACCACCCCCCCCCACCCACCGCCCCGGACCCAACTAGTTGACCGTTGCGTGCGCAAGTCAATGTTAATCGTGTTGGTCTGATTTGTGATTCGTGACTAGTGACTAGTGCTTATTCAGGATCGTGCCAGCCAGGTTTCGTGTGGGCCACTTTTTTGAGACTTACGTCGTAACATTTTCCCGACCTGCGTCTTAACTTTTGAGCAAATGGCCGCCTTTATCCTGACTTCTTTGTGAGTTGGGCTGGCTTCTGTTTGGTTGGAGGGTTTTCTGGCGAGGTGACTTCTTTCTTACTTTTTTATTTCCAGGATTTACAATCATAACCGAGTTTTCCGAGCTTGAAGGCAAGGGCGAAAAGGATTGCAATTTTTTGAATAGCACCCGGACCAGGCACTCATGCTTTGTCGTGAGCATTTTCAGTTCCATGCCCTAGCAATGCATGCTTATTATATGCTTGCTGCTGATAGCTTGCTGCACCAAGCGCGCCCGAAGCATTCGTGACAAGAGGTTACATGGCTAGGTTGAACATGTCAGATGCATCCAAGCCAGGATTGCTACATAAGTGACGCCGTCCAGAAAGGGATTTAGGGGACTAAGCGGTTATCCAAGTAGGTGCCAGCGATGTTGCGATGGCCTGTCCGAAATTTGGCCACATGTGTGTCGCTGAGAGGTCCGCTTTTGTCTCAACACCGTGGCAACATGGTCTCCGCAGAGAAGATACCACAGATCGCGCCACAGATATCGAGGCCGAACACCCCAGCCTTTCCGCTGGATAGGTATGAGGTGCCTCCACCCGTCCAGGTGCCGAGTCATATCCCACGTCCATCCTATGCCGACCACCCGCAGGGCATTCCCCGCCCCCTGAAGCCGGAGCAGTTTGCAGAGCGAAAAACGCCCGCCATGATCGACAAAATGCGACGGGCCTGTGGCCTCGCTGCGGAAGCCTTGATCGTGGCCTGCGACGCGGCCAAAGAGGGCGTGACGACGGACGAGGTCGACCGCAAGACTAGCGAGTTCGTCATCTCCCGTGGGGCATATCCCGTGGGAATCAACTACTACGGCTTCCCGCGAGGCCTCTGTGCCTCACCAAATGAGGTGGCGCTGCATGGTGTGCCAAACACCCGACCGCTCGAGAATGGTGACATTGTCAACTTTGACGTCACCGTGTTCCTGGATGGGGCTTACGGAGACTGCTCTGCCATGGCGTGTGTTGGTGAGGTGGAGTACAATGCCTACTGCTTGGTGAGGGACACACGGAAGTGTTTGGAGGAAGTCATTGAGAAAGTAGGGCCTTCCGTCAAGTTGAATGAGATTGGGCATCTGTGTGAGAGCCTGGGCAGAAGCAGGGGCCTCAGCACAGTCCGTGAGTTCTGCGGCCATTTCATCGGCAGCGAACTGCATATGCAGCCCAACGTCAGCCACGTGAAGAACAACTTGGCCTTGGAGCTCTTGCCCGGTATGACTTTCACCATTGAGCCTATCTACATCGAGGGCGAGGATGCCGCAATTCGACCAGCCTTGGAGGATGGCTGGACCATTGTTACCAAGAGAGGAGATTGGGCCGCACAGTGGGAGCACACCATCCTCATCACAGATCA